CGCCAGTTCAGCGCCGAGAAGCTGCCCGACGCCTTCGGCTCTCGGCCCCCCGGCCTTCACGGCGGCACGAGCCGCGGACGCCGGCACCTGAGCACCAACAGCAAAACCGAGGTCACCGTGTGAAGACCAGGCCGCAGGCCCCTCCTCGGCCGGCCGCGGGCCTCTTCGGGCTGCGGAGAGGCGGCCGCGCCCTCAGCAAAGCCTGCCCTTCCTGGCCAAATCAGACAGGTCTTGGCGCTGGCAGGGGCCTCGAGCAAGGCCTGGCTCTGGCCTTCGCACCGGCTCCTGTGTAAACAAACCCTCCCTGGGGCTCCCACCCTGAGAATAAAGGAGCCCAGGTTGGCCCACAGGGCTGGCGGCCGAGGTATTGGTCATTGACTGGACAGACGGCAGTGCGGGCAGAGGGCACAGCATGTGCAGAGCTCCTGGGAGCTGGCGCATGCCCTGGGAGCCGGGAGCAGTGACTGGACAGGGGGGTCGGCCGAAGGCCAGCTGCGGCGTTCCTGCCACCAGAGCTGCTGGCCCCAGCATCCTGGGGCTCAGCGCAGGGAGGGCTGCTGGGTGCCTCCACACCCCTTTCTGGGGGTGCGCCCCTCCAGCCAGGCAGCCGCTCCGCAGCTTGAGTTGGCCAGGCTGGGCAGCTCCTCTTTGATGGCCTGGCCCCGGGCCGGCCCCTGGCCTGCCGGCCACTTGGCAGGCTTGGCCCAGAGCCACCCTCCTAATGAGTGTGGGCAGTGGGCCGGTGGACAGCTGGTGCTCAGGATGGCGCTGCTGGGGGGGGCGGGGCAGGGGACGCCGACCCGGAGCCTGGGCCGCGCCCCTCCTGGGCGCTCACACACCGCCTGGCACTGTTTCACCCTTCCTGCCAGGCAGGCTCCACCCCCGGTGTGGCCAGGCACGGCAGCGGCCTGCCTCTGCCAGTTGGCGACTGGGGGGCTGAGGGCAGGGTCAGTCCCCATTGCATGACCTCACTGTGCTCACACCGGCTGGGCCTCAGTTTCCCTCCCCGTGTCAACTTCATCGGGCTATAGCGTAGTGTGGTAACAGCGGCCACCGCGGCACAGGCCTGTGGGGCGTGGCTTCTGGGGGGCGGGCGTGGAGACCCAAGTCTCGTCCAGGTGACCCAGCTGACTCCAGACGGCACTTCCTCCACTGCCCGGGAAGCTGATGGGGACAGGCAGGCAGTGGGCAGTGCTGGGCCAGGTTATGGACAAGGCTGGCAGGCAGGGCCCCAGGCCCCCCGCTGTGGGAAGACCCCCCCTGCTGTCTCTTCCGGCTGCGAGGGGCCTGCAAGGCCCAGAAGCCTCAGGCGAGTCTACAGTCCTTGATCCCTCTGTGGCTTTTAGGGGAGACAGCCTCACAACCCCAACCCAGGGTGGGGGTGAGCGCCCCTGGGCCTCTGCCAGCTGTGTAGAATCGGAGGAGGGTGGTGCTGAGTCACAGAGCCTGTGGAGAGCCACAAAAGGATCAAGCTCCTGGGCGCGTCGGCCACCCACAGCCACCCACCCACCCACTCTGGTGACGCAGGCCTGGCTGGGCTGTGCTGGGAGGCAGCTGTGGACGTTCTGCTCATTCTCAGCCCGAGACCCTGGGTTACGCCCCGAGGCCAGGCTGAGGCTGGCCCCTCCTGACCTCTCTGGTGCGGCCAACTGTGACTGCCCTTCAGAGAAGGGAGCTGCTCAGCTGCAGGGACTGGGCCAGACACACTGAACACCAGGCTCGCCCAAAGTGGCGTTCCTGCCCCCACCCTCATGTCCAGCCTCCCCTGGCCTGCCCCTCCACCCCCACGGTGTCTGCAGTCACCAGCCCAACCCTAAATGGCCCCTTTATGTGCTTTTTATCTGGGGACTGTGGCCAGGGCAGGGACTGCCCTTCCCGGCCTGCACCCAGTCAAGTGGCGGCTGAGGTGACGTTCCAGGCCAGGAGCTGGACATGGGTGTGAGCTGCAAGCCTGAGAGTGATCTCTTAGCTCCACGCCTCCAGGGTACATGGGGAAAGGCCTGCAGGGTGAACACAGGAAGGCTCAGCGCCCAGAGCCTTAAGACTGCTGCCGCCAAATAGCTGTGTGCTGGTCACAGCGGCCCCTGGCCCCGGGCAGCTGTGGAGAGGTAGGGCCATGGGATTGAACTCCCCCCACCCCCCACCTTGAGCGGGGGGCGGGGGGGGGAGAGGAGCGTGGGGCTGACCCCAGCCAGGGCCCTGGAGGCCGAGCCCAGCAGCCAACTGGCCAGTGGCCGCCGCAGTCACACTACAGACCCTCACACGTGGCCCGCTGGGTGGTACCAATCCGTGTTTATTGAGTAACCCACGTCCAAGACACGGCACATGATTCCACACCAAGGAAGCCATAGGCACATCCCCTCGCAGTGAAAATCCGCCTCCCGCCCCACGAGGAGAAGGCACAGTGAACACACAGGACACGCGGGTCAGCCGGGGGCGGGGCCATAAATTACAGTGGGGGGGGCAGGAGATGGAGCAGGCGGGGTCAAGCTGACCAGGGGAGCCTTGACGGTGTGCACCCCCAGTCTGTGCCAGGACCTCGCCGTCTGGCTCAACTGGCCGGCGGGATGAGGCTCTGGTCCCACCCAGGCTGTCCTCAGGCCCTGGGAGAAATGGCCTCAGGGGAGGTACCGAGCCAGGGGGCCCAGAAAGGGGGGGCCACTTTCCTCCAGCACCCCCTCAAAGCAGGGCGTCTCATGCCTAGTGCCCACCCCAAAAGGGCCTGGTACTGGGGAGGGGCTGGGAGCTCGTCCCCACCACCCGGCTTTTCAGGGAGAAAAAGAGACTGGAGGTAGGAGCTGGGCGGAAGGAGCTGAGCGCCCAGGCTCTCCCGCCCCGGGGGCCTGCCCTGAGCTCGGGCTGATATCCCAGGGGCGGGAGAGTGGGAAGGAACAGGACAATTAAATAAGATACCATTTATTTTTTAAAAAATTAAAAAATAATGCCGACATTATTTCATCCACCCCCAGGCCTGCCCCTGCCCCCCCGCCCCCCAGGGCCGGCTCCCGCCCTGGCTGTCTTGTGTCATCAAGAGCGAACAAGGAACTGGCTTTGCGCGGGGAGGGCACAGACCCGGGAGAGAAATAAAAGATGCCGCAGCCCCGCGCCACAGCGACAAGCACACTGGTATAAAAACGTTCGTATAAAAAGGGGGGCGGGGGCGTGCGGGGCACAGTCCCAAGGGTGACGCTCTGGAGCCTGGAGACCTATGTCCCCTCCCGAGAAAGCCTGATAAAAAACAAGAGGACGGGGAGCGTG